AAAGCTAATTGTCACGAAACAAATAACCATCCTGAATAAGAAAATCTGTTGCAGGTTACCATGAACTGCACTTGGCATAATTTGCTTGAAAATCTTCATCAGTCTCATACAATTCCTTTAGACAATCAAAACCAACTTCAGCACTTAAAGTCATCAACAATGCTGCCGGACAACTCAACGCATCGGTAACTTTATTTTGTTGCCTCGATTTATGTTTCAGCATGAAGGTAAACTTCTGCAGAAAAGTAATCCACCTGGCATGCACATGATTTAAACTATTATGTGTGTTAATAAATTTCAGCAGTTGGTGATCACTGTAAATCATAAACTCCCCCTGAATCAAATAGTGCTCCCAATGTTTCACAGCTTGGATCACAGCATAAAACTCCAGCCCTTTTAAGAAAGAACATCACCTATGCTTATGACAGAAGCATCACACTCGGTCTTGAACACCTTCTCAAATTTTGGCAATGATAAAACTAAAGTAGTGGATAGCCTTTCTTAGATCACAGTAAAGGCCACTTCTTGCTCGTATCCCCACTAAAATTTTCCCTTCTTCATGCACTTTGTAATAGGAGCCACAATGCTACTAAAATTCTTGATGAATCTGCGATAAAAGGTCGCCAATCCATGAAAGCTACAAACACGACTTACTATTGTCGGTGTAGGCCATTTTTCAGATAACACGAACCTTTTCTTCATCCATCTGTAAACCATTAGCCCCTATAATAAATCCCAAAAATAATAATTTCACTGTCAAAAAACAACACTTCTTTAAGTTGATATATAACTAGCTGGTACGTAAAACTTGCAGAACTTCCCACAAATGCTCCATATGTTCTTCACGACTATGATTGTAAATCAAAATATCATCGAAATAAACAACCATGAATTTGCCAATAAATGGCTTCAGATGCTGGTAATTAATCACATAAAAGTACTCGGTGCATTGAATAGTCCGAACGGCATAACCATCCACTCATATAGCCCTTCTTTTATTTTGAAGGTTGTCTTCCACTCATCGCCCGGTCTAATTCGAATCTAATGATACCCGCTCCGCAAATCAATTTTGGAGAAGACCTTCGAACCCTCCAATATGTCCAGCATGTCATGCAACTGTAGAATTAGGAACCTATACTTCATTTTAATTTTATTGATTGCACGACTATCAACACACATCTTCTAGGTACCATATTTCTTTGGTGTCAACAAGGCAAGAATAACACAAGGACTCATGTTCTCCTTGATCAGCCCCTTACGAACCAACTCATCCACCTGCCTCTACAACTCTGCACTCTCTGTTGGGCTCATATGATAATGTGGCAGATTTAGTAAACTTGCTTCGGGTACCAAATCTATATGATGTTAGATATCCCGCATGGGTGGTAACCCATTTAACAGCTCCTCCGGGACTAAATCCTGAAATTCTGCTAGTAGTAGTTGCAGTATCTCAGGAATAGGTAAATCTCTTCTTACATCCTCACCCTTAACAACGAGTACCATAACTTCGCCCGATTCCTCCGTTGCATTTGTGAATTTTTCTTCAAGGACAGTAAGAAAGGAACACCCCTCTACTTTAGAAGCTTTGCGTAGTTCTTCCCCTATAGGCATCAATACAATTTTTATGTTATGCCACCAAAACAGATACGTGTTGTCCTTCCCTTTATAAGTCACATCAACATCATATTACCACGGACGGCCCAATAATATATGACATGCATCAATCTCAACCACGTCATAGACTGCCTCATCTTTGTAGTTCTTACTAATAAAAAACAGAATTCGATAAATTTCACTCACCTAGTCTTAGCGCCCTTCTTAATCCACCCGATTTTGTAAGGGGATAGGTGTTTCTCAGTTTTCAACTCCAGCTTCTTGACTAAAGCCTTTGACACAATGTTTTCGCTGCTGCAGCTATCCGCAATCACATCATAAGCCTTTTGATTGACTATACATCTGATACGAAAGATATTATGTCGTTGCTGATTAGCCTTATGCTTTGGTACATATAGCAACCTCTGAACTATGCAGTTAACCCGATCACCATCATCACAGACAGTAAGTTCAGTACCATCATACTCATCCTGACCGTCATTAAACTGTTCTTCCTCGATAAAACCTGTTTCATTATCTTCAACTTTAACCATATTCACTCGCCCCCAATTAGGGCACTTGTTGGATCGATGGCCAGGAAGTTAGCGGCGATAACACTTAATTGAAGCTGGTCGTGCATAAGGATTATCATTCGTACCTTTATTCTGTGCAGTTATAGTGGATTGTCATTCTTGTCCTTTACTGCTATTAAGGCCTGAGGAATGCTGCTGTTGTTGGATCTGTTATGGCTGTTGTTGTGGCTGTTGTTGTGGAGTAACAACCTATTTGCCTTTATTCTGTGTAGCAAAACTGAAATCAAAATATGAATTGTTCGACCCTTGATATCGTAAGGGTGGTCATGCCAATTGCGTCTCGATCTTAAAAGCCAGATTAGTAGCTTCTGATAAACTCCAGACTTGTGCATAGTAATCTGATCCTGGATCGCCATTCACAACCCTCCTATGTATCTTACTACCTGTTGGCTATCAGTTTCTGACAAGTTGTTACGTGTACTAAGCCTGTTAAATTCTTCAGTATACTCGCTAACAGATCGGCTACCTTGCCTGCAATTTTGAAATTGATGATACAACATCTGTTTGTAGTCTAATGGTAAAAATCTAGCTCTCATCAATTGCTTCATCTTATGCCAGGTCTGGACAGGTTGCTTTCCTTGCCTCTTTCGGTTAGTTTCCTCCTAGTCCCACCAGGCTGAAGCACCCTTTCTAAGCTTGTAGGCCTCAAAATTAACCTACTTCTCCTCGGCAATATCAGTATACTCGAAAAAATGATCCACCTCAATAATCCAATCAAGGAAATCTTCAATGTGAAGATGTCCATTGTAAGTGGGTAGATCCATCTTCATCTTGTAATCACGAGTGTCTGGGTCTTCTCGGTTTTTATACTGTCTAGCACGATCATGCCAATTGTATCCCCCAAACTCCTCATCACTGGAAGACCCCGCATAAGCTGGAGGCCAATATAGAGGTACGGGAACGTTAACCACATTCGATTGGCCGCGAGGAACATCATCAGTATGAACTCGAACTGGTTCACGGACTTGGTTACCACCAACCCCAAGTCCAACAAAAGCCCATTGGAGATCCTACAACATGCACTCCATCCGTTCAGCCTGCTGCTCCTGGGTTTTCATGGCTGCCCAAAGGGCTTGCATTCCTTTATCAACGTCGCCAGAGTGGTTGCTGCCGTTTCCATCCTCTGCCATCAGACCAGGGTACAACAAGGCTTTGATACCAACGGACATAAGCGGAAGCGAAAAACGTTCACAAGGAATGAGGGTTACCTTGAATTCACAAGGAAAAAAAGAATTCGCAGAGGAATCTGATAATATATTAATAATTGAACGAATGATATGCACTGCAGTACATGTATTTATAAATAAAAAACCCTAACAACATAAAGAAATCCTAAAACGTAAGGAAACTTGTAGCGCAAGGAAACTACTCAAAAACAAACTTGCTCTTAAAATTCTGTAAAAATAAGGAAAGAAACCTAAATACTAAAAACTACTAAATACCAAAAAGGAAAGCAAACCGAATCCGTTTAGTCTTCTAACGAAAATCCCAAAATATTCAAAATTTGGGAAAACGCAATTCCTGAGCCTTAAACGATTGAATTCGGCCAAAAGGCACCTAGTTGCCGATATATGCAAGTTAGACTGTTTCTGATAAAACTGGACTCTTTCCGGGACAAAAATGGATTCGTCAAAATCATCTTATAAACACTGATCAGCCTACCCGTTTGACCTTTTGATGGTCCAAACGGGTTACAAAATCTTCAATTATCTGTTCTGCATCATGCGGGATCAAATTAAAAGCACCTTGGATATGAATGGTTCATCCTGGAAGAATGTTTATTTGGGACTTCCAGCAATGATGAGAAGATTCGAGTCTGAATCTTTGAAGTTTGTAACTGAAATTTTTTCAGATAAAGTGGAGGCACTGAAAGAGAATTTACTTTCAGTTTCAAAGGCTAGGAGAGAGGTCATGTCGAGATTAGTCCTTATGCATTTCAATGTCTCAAATTCCACAATGAGTAGAACTTTTTCCTACTGAAGATTGTAAAACACGGGGACCAATTGACCTTCCCCAGTGATCTCACAAAATCATTCATCCACCACACTCATGAGACTGGTAATGATAAGTAGCATCAATATTCATTTTAAGCCGACCTTCCATGGGAGCATTCCAATGCTGAGACCCAACTGGAGCAGAGACCTGAGGAAGTTTCTCCAACCTCAATATCCTTCCACAAAGAATTCCTCTCTGCAATATAACTACAGCCCCTTTTTAGTAGTTGGATGCATCAAATTCACGGCCCATTGGTATGCAGACTATACTGAAAAATAACCATTTGACGTTGGTCCCCGTGTTTAACAATCTTCGCTTTGGTTGTGCATCTATTAGATGTACTATTTTTATACACCATCTCTATAACCCCATTTTAGGAGAAGAAGTAGACACTCACGCAGCACCGGAGCCTCTGCAGCAGCAGCACTAACCGGTCTATGATGACTTCTCCTAAAAATAACCATTTCTGTAATTAAGTTATTTGGTGACTTCTCCTCCTAAAATGGGGTTATAGAGATGGTGTCAAAGGGAATAACCAGTCTATGATGGGTTTACAAGCAGTGGATGCTGTAACTCAAACCCTAGTTCTGGAAATCTCAAGTTTGGTCTCTTCAGTTACAGGCTGCAGACTTGTTTGGGCTTCTAGATCCTCCAATGGCATATAGCTCATAATCTGGGTAAAATTGCTTTGCAAGAGCGAGTTGGAAATCTTCACTGGGATGTGTGGCCATCATGGCTTATTTCTCTTGCAAATGCTGAATGTTCACCTTCCGTTTTAATTTAATACATTTTGCCTTTTGGTTTAACCAAATAACTTAATTACAGAAAAGTAACCATTTGAATTTATTTAGTAAATTACCCCTTCTTCACACATTAGACACTTTCATTCATCTCTGTCCATTAATTCACAACAATTTTACAACAATTACATCCTACGGCTACATTTTGTTGGGAAAATTGGCAGATATTGCAGCACTTACACAACACAAAATTCCTTAGGAGAGTTCTCAGCAGCAGATTCTTCCTATTAACCGGAATTGTGAAACTCAAAGAAATGAAGAATGTATTGATTTGAATACAAACATTTAATCATACTGTTCTTGATCCCTTATCCACTTTGTGGCTACCCATTTCTCCCCTTTAATTACTGGACAGCTCCCATGTAGTGATGTCTGCGGTGGTATACAATCGAGGCAACAATCAGAAGCCAATAAATAGTAGTGAATATAGCAATGAACCATGTTTATCATAAATCTCCAGAACATTTCCAAAGTAACACTAGTGATAATCTATGATTGTAAAAATTGTGCTTATCATTGTGTTTCATAATCATATACAGATGCACAAACAGGAAGGAAAAAAAAAAAAAACCTAGAGATGTGTTATTTCCTGAGACGTCTCTAGCGCTTGAACTTTCAATGAAATTCTAAAAGATAAATTTCAACTATAATATCGGGTGCATAGATCTATACAGCAGTCACTTGACTAACCCTCTGATCACCTCTTCAAGCAGACTCAACTCATGCCAACTTACATCTTATAGTGCCATCATTAGTCCTCTCTAGATATGACTGAACTATGCAGATTGGAATCATCACGTACTAAATCTAGGGCATATTTGAATATTTAAATTCTATCTTATTCAATAATCTCAAACCAATTGCCACCTCGATTTTTAATTTAACTATTCTCGTCGTCGTCGTCGTCGTCGTCTATATAAATGGGATGAGTCACATGAGTTCTCTTTTTCCGTTCTTCTCTATATACCATGTTCCCTCTAATATATAATTTTCTAATGTCATTTTTAGTTTCTTCGTCCTAGTTTTGGTCAGCCTCTTTGTCGCTTACCTTCCAAGGTTTGTATATGATCATACCACCTAAGTCTACTTTATTTATTTTTATAATTAATAGGCATTATTCCTAGTTTTCCCATCACTCGGTCCTTACGAATCTCATCTCTTCTAGTTACTCCTATTATCCATCACAACATCCTCATTTCTGTGACATGAATGTGTTCTTGTTTCTTTTTCAACGCCCAACATTTTGCTCCATACATTGTAGTTGGACTAATAGCCATAAAACATAATTGGACACGTCAATGTAAGTATTCGTCAATGTAAGTATTCCTATCCCACGATCAAATCAATTAACGTATGTTCAGCTTTCTTCTCCATAGAATATTAATTGGACATGTTAGATCTATCATTTTTCCTCGCAAACATCATCATCATCCATGCCTTGGTCCCATCCGATTGAGGTCGGTCAAGTTTTGCTTGCAAATATAAATGCAAAAGGTCATATAATAGATCAAAGGCATAATCCCCTCAATCAAACACCTTCTCTAAGACCACCAAGGGGTGCAAACTAGTGGTACTTCCAAAGTAGAAGGTCGAGGATTCAACTTTCAAGTCCCTATAGGGCCAAAGTGGGAGTGTGAATTTCTTGCCAAGGTACAAAAAAATAAAATCAAATTATAATAATAATAATAATAAAATAAAAAATAAAAATCACCTTCTCTAAGGAATTTTTTTTAACACTCTCGTAGGAATTTGACCGTGCAATACTGCAGTTGGGCAAGAGCCAACATGTGACACAATATCCATTTTCACCTCACTTTACTACAGACCTGTATATCCTGTATATTTCACGGCTTTCTTCATATAAAGAGGTTGCATCAAGGGTAATGATCATTCACTCTGGATTTATACAAGCCTACTGGTAAAATTCAAAATGTTGCCAACTAGTTATCAACTAATCATTAATATATATTCTTTGGCCAGTTTTCATTTTGTTAATTAAGATTTCTTTTACTTTTTACGCTTAGATAGTGTTCAATGATGGAAACTGCAGAAGTATTCAGATAAAGAGCAAGACACCAGATCTTTTTTTTTGTTAGTTTAAATTGCAGTGATGATTTCGACGGCAAGAAGAAACTCACCGGATCAATTGTACCATTTGGAAATAGTGAATAGAAAAGAAGCCCGTCACCTCTCCGTGGCTTCACTGTCAAACCAATACACTTGCGAAAATCATAGTTTGCATCCATGTTTAATCCATTCTGTAAAAACAAGCATATGGTGACCGCCTTTTATTTGCAAACATGTTTTTGCCCGCACACACACAAACAAAAAAAGAAAAAGAAAAAGAACTTCAAAAAACCAAAATGACAGAAATAAGGGTCCGATCCTACCTCAAATGGGAACATTGTTTCTCCACCTTCTTCAACATCAGATAAATATAACAAGAAAGAAGCAATCTGTATCGAATTAAAATCAAGTTTGATGTTAGAAATTGCAGCAATCATTGGCTCATTAGTGGTGTGTTTAAATCATGAAAAAGAACTATTATGACAACTTTTGCAATTCTATCAATGAGTTTTACCCATTAGTTGACAGTTCAACTTAGTGATCCTAAAGGAAGGTTAACACAAGAAAAATGCAACTATATCATAGAATTTAAGCACTGAACAAAATTTGAATATATTTGTTCTCTTGCCATCAAGAAAAACTAAAAAGATGGAACTGAACATCATATTACATAATACTTGCTGAAAAGGAAAATCAACTTACAATATCTTATCCGACTCGTTGCCTAGAAAAATATAAAAAGGATATAAGCAAAGTATTTCATTTGTTGCTATGTGGTTTACATTGTTGGATGATAGAAAATAATTTCAATATCATTCAACTGTCGAGAGAGATGATAAGGATGTGTCATATAGGAGGATGCCATACACCATTTCAATGATAATCATTAAATGTCACAGTAAATTGAGGTTGTTCGAGATGATGACTGTTGCTGTCACCAGAGTAGATAGTAAATCTTAAGAATGAAATACTCGTCCACAATTTTATTGAAAACGGCTATTTTCATTATAAATCTCCAAGCAAAGCATCAGGAAATGGATTGTCAAAATTTCCACATGGTTGGAGGCTTCCAAAAAAAAATCTCTCAGAGAATCAGTGTGTGGATTATGTAACTTGCAAGCTTCTCCATCCAATCTCGAATACCAAAAAGAAAATGCTCAATGACATGAAAGCAAATGCTATTTTTTTAACCTTATAATGAGCCTTCAATCTTCACATGGACTCTTCAAAAGTAGGTAACTACCCGTGTCGGACACACAATAATCGGACATGGGTAAGGGATATGTTAGACACTTTTGGTTGGACATGCACCTAAAAAAACATATTGAATGATTCAATTTTACTGTATCATTGCTTCAAAATGAATGAAATACCTATACTTAACATTATGTAACATGAAATAGAAATATTAGATAATATGAATATTTAGCAATGTCCCCGTGTCCTTCTGTTTGGAAATTTGATATGTCTGACGCTTGGATACATAATTGAACCTGACAGACATATCCAAGTCTAGGTAACATAGTTCTTCATCACATTTTAATAATACAGAGAGTTCAAGTACTGATAATTCGATATACTATTCATCCTTGCAGTTAAGGCATCTAATGAATGAATTCAGAGATGAGTTTCATGGGACTGGCTCAATAGTGTCAAGATTTACATGTTCCACCACCAATTAAATATATATATATATCCATGGAAGCTACTGATATTTATACCAAATGCATCTACATTTGGAATTTGCCAAACAGAAGTACACATATGCCACTTAGTAGTTAATTCTTCCCAAGGAACACCATTTATGTCATGAACTTAGTGAGTTTAAACTTTCAAGTATATAAAGTGGTATTCCAATTCAAATTGTACTGTCTGCGGGCAATATGCAATCCCAGGTCAGAGGAGTGTTTGATATAAAATATTCTGCTACTTCAGTATAGTTATAAAACATAATGGATGTTTTTATCAAAGAAATCAAGCAACTCAGCAGGAAAAAAAATTCAAGACAGTAAGAATAAAGGATCAGAATAACAATACACCTTTCGACTGTTAAAATATCTGCCTATCATGTTTCAATAAAAAGTGATGAATATGTGTGTCTGCATGCATGTTATGCAGAAAAAACAATTCTATCAAACAAAACCTCTGTTACACGGACTCTCCAAACTCCCTTCACATACCTGCGTAGACACAACAAAAGTAAAAGTATGGGATATATGTCCGACAGACGACTCCAAATTGGAAACTCTCCTTCGTGTGATGATTGAAAAAATTAAAACTCAAAATTAATAGCATGGAAGAGTTTCCTATTTCTAAATAGATAGAAACCTCTTTTCTACCACATGCTATTTGATTTGAAAAAAAAAAAAAAAAAAAACAATATTTCAAACATTACACACTAATGTATTCAAATGCATAATCATGTCTACGTACCCGTATCCAACTTTTGGACACATTTTCCATGTCCTAGGATTTGGAATAAAGGGATGTCTGACACTTGGACATACACCCACATCCGATATTCATACCCAAATCCAAATAACATAGTAGTTTTTCCAAGACAAATTTCCACATGCAGTAAACATATGATTTGTTTTTCATTAAGAAAAATTCTACAACTAGTAAACAAACGATCACTCAAAAAGTATGTATAATTTTAGTTAACATGTACCCTTTGGCTTTTTTGTGGGCCATATTCACCAGGGTTGAACGCATCATAATGAGAATTATACCTCTGCCCAACCTCGTAGCGCAAGACATTGAATGCCTGAAACATGATGATATCCTCAAATTACTCAGACAAATTTAGAACCCTCCTGAAATGAAAGGTTAACTAATTCAATTGAGAAGACATTAACATAACTGCATATTTAGCATAAAAACTTTGTGGAAAACACTCAGGCGTAGCCATTCATGACGTTGATTGTTTTAGTAGAAAAATATATCATTTACTAGGCATGGTTTTTTTTCTTGGAACTGAACCACGTATGGATTTACTACTCAGAATCAAATAAGATGTGTTAGAAGACATGAATATTTAAGATATACTACTTATAATGCATAAAAATCATCTTGGGATCCAGAACACAAAAGAGGAGTCTAAATAGCTACAATGAGGATTTCAGTTGCAGGTGTAGCTAATGTTTGTGCTTGACAACAATAGTTATAAATTTGTAAATAAGACACACGGTGGAATATCAGGCACATCAACCTTTCAAGTTTCTCTTCTTCTCCTTTTATGTTTGTTTGTACAAGTTTACATGTATTTTGTTTACCAGTCTAATTGCTTCAACACAAGTAAGATGAGGTCATACATGAAGCAGGGTGTAAGAGCTTGAAATATATAATTTGGAGCATTTCTTAATAGCTTAAGCTTTTAGACAACTAATTGTCTAATGTGGCATCAGAGCAAGGTCTCCGACGTGAATCTCATCGCTCGAATCTCATCCTACCATGATCGATATGATTGATGCATATGCTTCGCATACTCATGATAGAGAGTTTAGATCATATGTTGGGTGGCGTTTAGACGATATAAGCAATTAAGCTACAACCTTTGTAACTACTTAAACTTTGGGAAGAGATGGTGCTTCACAAGAAGCATTGATGACCCCTAAACTGAGATATACTCTATGTTTCCATTAGCAACTGTGATTCAAATGCTTACTGCAAATATAAACTCCATATTATAAAAATTAACAGGAAATGACATTTAAATGCATTTCCTTTACTCAATTTCATGAGAATAAATTTGCTATTTATGGAAAAGGGATCAGAACAGAATCTAGGGAAAAGTTTCCAAACACATAATCTTCACCTAAATATCATGAGTTGGACAATGACCATGGGACAAAACAATCGCATTCCTCCTCAAATTGACCACTGAAGTAGATGAATACTTCTATGAGAAACACCTTCTATAGAACATTTTTGCATACGAATCTTTCATCCAAAAACATTTCTGTAATTCTATACTTTTCTCATAAAATTTCTTGGTTCTCATTTTCGCCCTATAAAAAACAGCATACTAAATATTAATTTAAAATAAAAAGACCCGTTTATGTAGTTAGTTTTTATATGCAATTGAATGATTTGCAAAATGTAGGTCGCTCACAGGGTTCCCACCCTGCCATCAGAATTGCTTTTCCTTGTCATCATTGTCGATGCCCATTGACATGTACCAAAGCCCTAGCCATGCTATCATAAGCACTACTTTGAACTTGTAGAAGTGTCCAACCCATCATGCAATATAAAACTACGCAACTTGGTGAATAATACCGAAGCTCGAAGTTAAGGGCACATATCAAGTCAAGATAATTGCAAAGTCCTTTTTCTAGAGGAGGGGGGTTGTTAAATAATTTATAAACCTCAAGTTTGCAACAACAATTTGTTATATTAAGTTATGGAGGAAAATCCAATTTTTAGGTGTTGTTTGATAAACCTATTAGATTAAGTATGTATGAGAATGCTTAATTAGTTGCCATTTAAATTGTAAATTCTACTTAAAAATTATCTGAATTCTAAATGATCAACCTATCACCAAGTAGTGAAACATTCAGCGGAAGATGCTATTAGTTTTACATATGAACACACAAATTTACTTTTAAAATTTTCAGTTCTGAAAATCAGCACCTCTAAATACTAATTCAACACTGAAGCTTCTCATTGCCAAATTTTCATTTTTATCACCACCACCTAAGTCATGCCGGGATCTTTATTTTCCATCTTACTCTGCATTTACAAAGACCACATGTAATACCAGTATTTTTTTTCTTTCTTACCCTGGGTTTACATGGACCACGTTGTGTGAAGGTAGCTTTGGTTGTGCATCTATAATCAAGGATGTCATCACTTTGACTAAACAGCATATGAAATTGCATGTAATTTATGTTTGACAGCAAAGATGAGCTTCTACAAGCATACTGACATTTTTATTATGACGAATTCATATGAATAAAAATAAAAGATTGTAACCTAAATCTAAATCAGGGAGGAAAGATAATTTTTAACTTTATAATGAAAAGTACCTCCCCATGACTTCTGGGAATCATTGTGGCCCTTGCAATTTTCTCCTCAATGACATCCAAAATCCCACTTTTGTCTTCAGATGCACTTATAAACATGCCAGAGCTGATTGAAAAGAGAGGTAAGAACTAATAGTGCTCTATATCTATCTTAAATAGGAACTTGGAGACAATGAATCAGGTATATACATTTAGTGAGAAAATATTTTTTCCATCACACGTGTGCTGGAAAAAATGCAACATTTCTACAAAAAAATAAAAATAAAAAGAAATAGAAGTACTTCATGTGTGCACCTGTGTTCATTTATTTACTGCGTAAGAGATCATATAAAAACATTAAGTACCTTGTTCTGATTCCCTTGGTATTTTCTGCTGTTTCTCCCTTACGTAAAGCCAAGGTCGATGGTGCAAGGTGTTTCTTTGTAATTTTAATTATGCTTTGGCATTGTTCCGCAGTTGCAAATTCAGGATAGTACACTGCACGTGGTTTCCAGCTTAAAACCTACATAAGGTTATAAAAAAAAGGGCTGAAAATGGAAAAGTCTGTGAATATATATATATAAACCCCCTCCAACTGGTGATGGAGCCAGGAATTTGTATCAGGGGCACATTAAACATAATACAATTCAAACCCCCCCCCCCCCCCCCAACCAAAAAAAAAAAAATGTATCAAGACAGCAAGCAAAAAATTCAAGTGCAGAATCAGTGCAATAATCGCGATTCAAATAACATGTCACAATTCACAAAAATTGCAGTAAATACTGTAAATAAAAAGTTCAAAGACATAAAATACAAACAATAAGTTCATAAAATTGTAGTAATAAATTTGAAGCAGAAAAAGGGGGGAAAAAAAGAAGAAGAAAGTTATGGAAGTGGATCGCTTTGTTTGCAATGAAAAGGAAGAGAAGGCGGCTGTAAAGACAGATTCTTTAAAAGCAATGACAGAGGTAGGGCAAGTGAAACATTATATCTCTGTTAGGCTTAAGGTAAAAGGCATGAGAGAAAGAAAACTCTTGTTTCCCGGCATATTGATGGGAATAAGAGTAGGTTGTAAGTGAGGCAATTCCTTCCGGTAGTGGATGCTGGTGGATCATAGTCAAATCTATCTTTTTGGAAGTGAAGTCATAACTTATACCATGGCGTTCCAGCCCATATGGATAAATAGATAGAACCGTTCTTTCCTTGAAATAATGGTAAGCAAGTGTATTAGTAGACAATACTCTTTATAAAAAGCAAATAATTGACAAGCATGAAAGCCAGGCACATACATCATACATGTAGAGCTGTCAATGGATCGAATTCTGATCCAATTATTCTGATATGGACTGAGTCTCAAATCCAATAAGGATCCGAATCCGATAACCTGTTAAGTTAACAAATTGGATTTGGATTAGGGTCAATCCGATCCATTAATAACCCTATCCGATTAATATTATATATATATATATATATATATATATATATAAGGATCCGAATCCGATAACCTGTTAAGTTAACAAATTGGATTTGGATTAGGGTCAATCCGATCCATTAATAACCCTATCCGATTAATATTATATATATATATATATATATATATATATATATATATATATATATTCTATTTATATTTTATATATCATTAATATCAACCATCAGATTAGATTTGTTTAGATCTAATAACCACCATTAGATTTGTATAGCTTTAGTAAAATGACCAATCACAATTGTATATGCACTTAAGTATGGTGTTCTCCCCTACATTATTATAATGCTATTTATATATATAACTTGTTCTTCACAACACCCACAAAATCACAAATTCCAGAATGTGCTACATACAGGGGCAACTAAAACGAAAAGGGAAGAGAGCTCGTCGACGGCCACCAAATCCTAGCCGGAACCTTCATGTGGTGATTATTCTACTTCCCCATTCTCTCTCCTTTTTCTTCTCTTCTTCCTTTCCCTTTTCTTCTTCTCCATCTAGAAGCCCTAATTATTTTTCCCTAATTTTCTATCACAACAAAGTTGTTTTAGATTTTTTTACATCTTTTACTTCTTCTTCTTCTCCCTCATCTCTCTCTTTCTCTCCCACATTTTCCTTTTTCTCTTTCAGTAAAATCATGCCAGCTTTGGGTTTTACAATAGTTTCTTTGAGATAATTATTTGCACCCATGGCTTGATTTGTGAAAAAAATGTATTATTTAATTGGATAGGATATCCGATAATGTGCATTTCGGATATGGATTCATTAGTTAAAATCTGTCGGATTATCAAATCAGATCGACTAATACACTTATTGGATTCAGATCGACCATGATCAGGTCCGAATCTGACATTTCACAAATTACATACATAAAATTGGGGGAAAGTGCCCCCCACCCCATGCTGGCTCCATCAATGCCTCCACTAGTAAGACTTCTTTCCAAAGAGTTTACACTGCAAATTAGCATAATGAACGGGGAATGTTGCAGTTTAAACACATAATGGGAGAAAAGAGTACCAAATAGACAACCATTTGCCACTGGAACACACGTAATTAGATCATTGTACTTCTAAGTTGTAACTAATCAGAGAAATGGCACTCTCTCCACAAACCCATTTATTAGTTATTTCTTAACTTTTCTAGATTTCAAACAAGTGAAAGTTTGTTTGACGGACTCAAATCAGTAAAAGTATTTACAGCATAAAAATGATCTTTAATGTTCTAAAGTTGCATTCAAATTTCAAACATTGAGCGTGAGAGCAGAGAGAGAGAGAGAGAGAAGGGAAGTTAAAATACAGAATTAAGTGTTCTAAATGGAAATCTGAAAATTGCATTGAAATGGGAAAAAATTAAGTTACATATGTGGGTATAACTTATATTATGTTTTGTGGGCGGGAAGGCAAGAAGGAGTGAGGGGAGGAAGAGTGGAGTATGCTTCCACTGCTTGGTAGAGGGGAGAGAGGATAGATGAATCATCCTTCTAACACCACCAATTTGGTCATTTCCAAAACTAAAAGGGGAGGAAAGAAAAAGGAGGATATTTATTGTATAATCGGAAAGACATTATTATCCTCGTTTATCAATTATGTCTATAGTTTGGTGTATAATGGTAAAATAATATTGAAAATCTCCTATTTCCTTCCCTCCTACCAAATAATGGAACATGTCACCTATTTTATTTCCTCGTCCACTTAACCAAACAAAAGGAAGGTCGTTCCTTAAACATATCTTTTTGATCCTCTTCCCTTTCTTTCCTTCCATCCACTTTTTACCTCAAACCAAAGGGACTACTACCAAATAGCATAATTGTCCCTGCAAGTAATTAACTTCATTGTGGTTGAACTATTAGAATGTGCGAACACCATGTAAGAGCCACTTGAATACATAGTCGACAAGTAGGTCAAGGAAGCATATATTATGTTGAAGTCATAGGAGGTCATTTAAGAGACAAGGCAACTGCCCAATGGACAAGTCAAATTTCAAATATTGAGCATGATGAACTGCATAATTGTTGCAATGCAAAATGAAAACAATTAATCAAGCTTTCTAAGCAACAAACTCTTCTGATGTAAGTTCTTGCAGTGATGAATATATATGTAACAAGAAAAATGGAGGTGGGGGTGGGGAAGAATCATTTTTAGAACCAACCATGAAGTTACAAATATGTCACAACTCACAAGTGATCATACGATATTACACAGTCAAAACAAGCCAAGTGCTTTAGCACATAATTAAGAAACCCATAAAACAATGTCATAGAAGTCACTGAACTCAAGGTGTTGTGTTTTTTTTTTTTTTTTTTTTTTTTTTTTTTTTTTTTTTTATAGCTTGATTTGCCAACAAGTGACTCACTTCATAAATTAACTTGATATCAGTAATTTTACATTCGCCACTCTTTAAATCATAAAAAAAGCACTCACAAATCACTTGAACTCAGCATACAGCAATCCAGTACTTACAAATCATTCATTCATAAAATTATATATATATATATATATATATATATATATATATAAGAGCAAAATCAAGCACCTGAAAGGGGATCGATGTAAGCGAATCTTCACCGGTATCGCCTTGAGGCAACGGATCAAAATCTCTCCCCTCAGTGACAGATTCAAGTAACCTAGGCCTCGGCCACAAACCAGATTCATCCTGTACATGATCGATCAATTCAATAACTAACATACGTAATTACATATGTATATATACAAATATATATAGAGAGAGTGTGTGTGTGAGTGACCTGAGAAAGATGCATGGAACCGAAGAGTCCGGCGAGGAAGAAGAAGCAGCATAAGAGGAAGATAGCAGGTAACCCTAGCTTGGTGCCGAAGCTCCACCAAGCTCCTCCTCCTACTACCTTGCCTTTGCTCTTCATTTCTTTGATGATGAATCAAACGAGAATGGTCTCAAAGATTCAAATCAATTGAAAGGCTTTTTTGCTTTTAAACTCTTCTTGTTATTTTTTTTTTTTTTTTGCTCCGTTGCTGCCAATAATTTCTCGTGTGTCAGAGTCCTCTGGTTTTAAAAAGGAGCAAAGTGGAAGATGTCATCATTGACATCTCACGCGGCGGGAAATTTCTACTTCTAAATCTACAGTTCCTTGGATTTTGGGGCAGACTTGTTAGCACCATTTGGCAAGAGTTCCGTTTTACATTTTTGTTTTCATTTAAATAAAACAATGTTTATGTCGTGACTTCTGAGGTGTGTTCAATAATTATTTGAAATACATTTGTTTATATAAAATTTGTTGTAAATTTTTTTAAATATGTACTACAAGATTGAAAAATAAAATGGATGTTAAAAAATGTTCATGTTAGACTGTATCAGAAGTAATTTATATTAAAAAAAGTGATCGGGACATCTTACATATTGAGAGATTAGTGTTTTACTACCACATACAAATATTACGTAGGAGAAAACATTAATCAAATCACAATAAAAATTACCTTGATACTCTTCTTCTGTGCACACCGCTGCATAAAACACGAAAGTATACCCTTAATTATGCAGGTGCAGGTGGAGTGCACAATCATTCAAACTCTATAATATATATATATATATATATATATATGTGTGTGTGACAATGGAATGTGGGAATAATTATACAGGTGGAGTGCACTATCATTTAAACCAATATGGAGTAGTTTTAAATCCTGACACGGGTCACGATGGACTCTTTGATTTTGTAAGTGAAGTGTGACTTGGTAGTTGGTACCTTTAGTTTTTTTCTTTTTAAAAAAATTTTATTTTTATATATATATTTTTTCAAACATATAAGTACAAAAAATTCAACATGAACTGCTCATTATGCTGTAATTTCATTCACAAATTAATTAAAATAAAAATGTTGATATATATTTTTTAACCGTTAAATATAGATTTGAGAAATATTTGGAGTGAAAAATTTATATAGTTGTTCCGTTACGTGAAATATCTCTTAGAATTGAAATATATATATATAAAATTCAACATACATATTATGAAATGATCTAGTCTGACAAACTTAGTAGGATCTTGACTTGTGTGTTAATGTCTAAGTAATCATTTCCGTAAAACACATGTGAAATTACTTTTTATACAATAATGTATAAGCATTAGCTTAGAAAATATGATCTCTCATATTATTAAAAAGATATTATTAAGTGTTAAAGACTAGTAAAAAAGATTTATTTGTTTGTTTACTTGAAATTTCGAAAAAAATAAGAGCATTCTTCTGTCTTAACTCATAGTCCCGGGGTATAATCTTTTTGTTTAATTATATGGAAAAGAAGAATTTGATAACACTTCCATTGTTTCAAAGGGTAAAATGGTAAAACCGAATGCTTTGAGTATTATTTTATTATTCCATCCAGTCTAAAGATGTTAAGTTAGTTCTACTTCTTTTTCATTTTATGAGTTTAGTGCAAAAAAAATCCCATATAATATAGGTTATATACACAATTAGTCCATTTTTTTTTTTTTAAATATGCATTTCAGTTCATAATATTTAAACAATGTGCAAATAAGCCCCTCTAATCACTTTTTGACAAAAAGTAAATATGAAAATCCAATTTTACCCTTTTTGTTCCTATTTTGCCCCTCATCTCTACATTAAAAGATTTTGTGATGAATTTACCTATCTTCCCTCATAATAATTTCATCTTCTTCTCTCTTCATTCTCTTTCCTCTCTACCAACGAGCCACCTCCCCCCACCACCATTACAGGCCACCACCCCTATCACCCCCACCATCTTCTTCTATCCTCCTCCTCTTACTCACTCTCTCATCTTCATCAATTTGTCCCAATTCCACCAATTGGGGTTTGTAAACCAAGTGTTATATTCGTCTCAATTCCACGTTATTCTCTCTCTCTCTCCCTTCCATCTGATGAGCGCTGAAAAGTGCGCTTTTAAACCCCTTAAGCTTGAACATTCTAGGACCTTTATCTATCTTATTTTTCTGTTTTAGACTACTTTTGTGACGACCCTGGTTTTTAGGCCAGCGTGTCCTGTGATAAACCGTAAGGATGATCCGATAACGGATCTGAAATGCGGAAGCGAAAATAGAAAACAAGACTCTAAGAAATCAAAGTGACCTTCCATGAGGTCGTGGAACTCAATTGGAACTGATGCGGAAGCAAACGATCAAAAATATGACACATAAGCCCCCAAGGGCAAAATAGTCATTTTTAAAAAATGTGGATTTGGGTGCCGCCGAGTACACCGCTGGAAAGACAACAAAAAAATAATCAGGATGGACTTAAGAATCGCATGATTCGGAATCCGGACGAAGGAGAAACGACCTGACGAAGAAAAACGAGCACTTAAGGCTAAGAGGGTAAACTGGTAATTATTCAGGAAGATTCGGGTGCAACCGAGCACACCGTTGGAAAAACAGCGAAAAATTAGTCAAGTTCAAAAAAAAAGTTCACTCGATTTGGAATCCGGATAAGGGAGAAACGAGAGTTTGAAGTTGAGACGTCGCGGTGGCCCGACGAAGGCCATGGCGCACACGGCGCCCATGCACGAGCCCACCGCCCATGCCGGCGCCCAATGCCATGCACAAGCTGACAGCAAGAAAGAAAAGAAAAAAAAAGTGAGATTCCAGAACTGAGGTTTGAAACGGAGGCCAAGACGAGTTTTTCTGGAAAAACACGAAGAAGAAACCCCCCCCTAAAATCGAGTTTTCTACCTAACCTTATGAACGGAAAAAAAAAAAAAAAAAAAACTAACTGTGAAACCCCAAAATGCCCCTAGATCAGAACTGGACAGGAGGGCAAAAAGCTGCTACAAGGTCTGTCTACATCTGAGATCAAAAACGGGCAAGAAAATGAATTTCTCTGGAAAAACACAAAGAAGAAACCCCCCTCAAAATTGAGTTTTCTACGTGAATCGCAAGAGAATTAAAAAAAAAAAAACGCAATGTAGAATATCCGAAATGCCCCTCCATGAAATCTGGTCATGGAGGTCCAAAAAGCTGTTAAATAAAAAAAAAAATAGAAAGTTGAACTTTGCGATAGATTTCCAATACCAAGACGATGTTTTCTAGAAAAATATGAAGAACAAATCCCCCCCCCCCAAAAAAAATCACGTGTTCTAAGCGATCATGTCGAAAGAAGAAAATAAAACTGATGTGAAAAGTCTATAATACCCCTTGAACAGATTATGCAACAAAATTGAAAAATGATTCCATAGGAGGTTCAAATCACAAAGGAAAGGGTTTTTCCAGGAAACGATCATGCACGTAGACGTAAATGGTGATTTTGAGCGCGCGGGAATGGTCCGCGGCTCCCGAAAATGGCCGAGTCAAAATCCGACTTCCCAACGGCCAAAAAGGCGAAAATGAACTTGAAATGGAAAATATGGAAACCAAAATTAGGAAATGGTTTTAAATGACCGTTTGGCCCTTAGCCACACTTCATGCAAGATAAATGAGACCTAGTGGAGGTGCCGGAACACACTTTACACCACCCGATTTGAAAATGAACCCTTAAAGGCTCGGTTTCTACTATTTTAGACCAAAATGCAATATATGAATTAAAATGCAAAAATGAAAACTAAATGGTGTTTGGCCCTTGGCCACACCTCACATATGGCAAATGAATGCTAAAGGATGAATTACATACACAATGCACACACCGGTGCGAGGATGACATATTGAAACCCAAGTTTTCATGCTTTTCTCGTTAAAGGCAAAATTCTACATTTTTTAATATACATGGATTATAGAATCAAATAATACAAATTTTATCAAAATAAACAAAAGTAAACATGATATGCTAACATGTGCATATTCGATATCATCAAAAATACTTCAAGACTTCTAGCATGTCTAAGAGAGTTGTGTATCCCACAATGAAACTTCTTTACCTGCAAAACACCCAGTAACTTCGGGGTGAATAAACAAGTCTAACAAGTTTATTCGTAGGGGACGAGCATGCATGACTCGATTTCTTTGGAGATTTTTAGGACTAACATGTTATAATTTGAAAAGGAATCATACCACCTAACGTCTATGTCAAGATTAGACTCAGGGATCATCCTAAGCTATCTTAGATCATTTCTAACATAAATCACATCATCTATGCAATTTAAACAATATGGAAGCACGTTATACAAAGCAACAAGATAAAGGTTCTTAAAGGTATCAACTTGCAATCTAGAATATAGAAACAACTAAAGTGATCATGCCACTTAACGTCTATGTTCAAAATAAGTCTAAGAAATCATCCTAGGCTATATTGAACAATCAAAACACAAATTACAATTTCAATGCAATCTAGCCACATAAAAGCATGTTATACAAGGCAACAAAATACAAATTCTTAAAGCTATCAGCTTGTAATCTAAAGCACGAAAACAACAGAAGTGGGTCATGCCACCTAACGTCTATGTTCCAATTGAATCTATAGGATCATTCCTAAACTACATTAGAACATTAAAACACAAATCACAATATCAATGCCATCTAACCAACATTAGAACTTCTAATACAACGCGTAAAGCATGGTTTCTCAAAGTAAACATCCTGAAACTTAAAACGGGAAAACAAGTAAGAAACAACAAGTCATAACATCATCTAGTTATCAACTTGAAATGAAATGCGAAATCAAATAAAGTGGATACTTGGACGTCACGCCAGATCAAACCGACAATGTGGTTACTTTAGGGTTACTAGCCCATGGGTAACCTCCCTATGTGTGCACTAGACTATATAGAGGTACTAACCCCCGTACTAGAACCACGTCCTAGCCATAGCCAAACAACGACATCCCCAAGTTTCTAAAATCAACAAGTTGTGCAACAACGTATATATCAGCATGTATATACAAGATAATCAACTATCTATCATGCACAACCAAATTTGGAAACCTATACAATACATGCTCTAAGTCCACAACTAACATGATATGATGAATGTCGAATCTTCAGTGTGCGATTCGTTACACGCTATGCATGAAAGATGTTAAATACGAAATGTGCAAATCATTACACAAGGCAACAATATATTCAATAAGGAAAACATATACTCATGAGTATAAACATAGCAACTATGTTATCCAATACTCAAAACATAAACAAATGAATATACAACAAGTCCATGTTCAAAATTTTGATATAGAAACGACTTTCAAACACAATTAAATCCATGGCTCAATTAGATAGAATTTAATTAAA